TGACAGCAAGTTGACAAATTTAATATAAGGTACAGTTTTTGATTGACTATTCGAACTACGTATCGCTTTCACTCAGAAACGTCAATTTAGAAATTTTGTTTATTCTTTTAACCGATTTGAGTTTATTAATTTCCACACTAGTCAGCTGATGAAGTTGTCGATTCGACCTATTGATACACAATTTTTGTGTTAGCGCTAAAGAGCGATCATGTTTATATAGAACTGACAATTGCAAAAGAGACAGAAGTAGCAATCTCTGCAACTAAATAATTAATCCTTACTTTGTACTGAGGCGTCAGCTATGTCGCTTCCCTCCATAAAAACAATATTTTTGCAATCCATTATTTTAGTTTTTAATTAGAACAATCAAAAAGGCACGAGCTTTCTCTAATTTTTCAACGTTTTCACCTATCGAAAAATGCGTTGGATAATTAACCCAATTCTGTGGTTTAAAGATGCCAAAAAGAGTTTTACGGAGTAATGATCACTTTGTAGGATTACTCCTAAAGCAACGATCTAGAGAAACACATGATGGAACAAAAGATGAACATAAATCTTAAAGTATTTATTGGTAACAGGAAAAACATTATCATAAATTCGAACGTTGAGGATGACTTAACTTAAAAAAATCTATAAATGGACATATTTCGTGTGATACGTGATGTGATCCTCGAAAAAATTATTTTTGGTCCTGAAAAGGACCGATTCTTTGTTTTAGGTGACGATTATAATGATGAAAATATGCTTAAGCACGTTCTCCACGAATACGACGAGCCAGTTGAATATCCTTGGGCATGATAGTCACACGTTTAGCGTGAATAGCGCACAAGTTGGTATCCTCGAAAAGACCAACGAGGTAGGCCTCGCTGGCTTCCTGAAGCGCCATGACTGCCGAACTCTGGAAACGCAGGTCAGTTTTGAAATCTTGAGCAATCTCACGGACGAGTCTTTGGAAGGGAAGCTTGCGTATAAGCAGCTCGGTACTCTTCTGGTAACGACGAATCTCTCGAAGAGCGACAGTGCCAGGCCTGTAACGATGAGGCTTCTTCACTCCTCCTGTTGCAGGAGCACTCTTGCGAGCAGCCTTTGTCGCCAATTGCTTACGCGGAGCTTTCCCTCCGGTAGACTTACGAGCAGTTTGCTTGGTACGAGCCATCTTTATGACTAACTTGAAACTACAACGTTGACAAGGCGAAGTCCAAACGTGTAATGAGCAGCGCCCCTGCGGGGCATTCTTTAAAGCCTGCATGGGGAATTAACTGATCCCTGATTGGCTCGATAACCACTGGTGGGGATAGGACTTTTTATTTTACAAGATATTAAATGTATCAGAAATAAAGCAAATAAAATGATAGGACTATTATATCGGTTTATTTGATGGAAAAGCTAAATCAGCACAAAAAATAAGTTATTAATATATAAATGATTATAAACAATTATTGTTACATGCAACACCGATAAAGAACAAAACATTCAAAAATACTATTCTTGAATTAGAGATAGTTTAGACTAAATTTCTACAAGTAACAGAAAATATGCTATATAAAATAAAATATATACCGAGAGTTTAAAAATAAACCTGAAATGATGAATTTGGATGGCATTACATAAATTTGAATTTTTCATTTAAAGTATAATAAAACAAACGCAGAACAGTAACTTATGTAATTTATCCACAAACATTATAAACAAAATTGAATCTGAACATATTAATGGAAAAGTAGGTATTGGAAACTGAGTATTAAAATGAGTGTATTACAATGTAACAGTATAGAAAATTCTAAAGCAGTGTGTTCAGAATAATTTTGATGTATTGATTTTATTATTTTGGTGTGGAGATACTTGTCATCGTATATCCATTACCTTTATCACGATAAGGTATTTCAGCGAAGAGGAAGAATACCGTTTTCGTATGGCGATAATCTTGTAAATTTCCATTTCAGTACAGTCATAGATAATATTACCTGATTCATAACTTATTGCCGACATTCAATAAAACATGTACTTAGCTAAAGGGATATTATTACTTAGAGATTAGAAAAGGTTTATATAAATCTTCTATGTAAATAGTTTGTTCACGTCAGAATAAATTGGGGCCCTGAAAAGGGCCATTTTTGTAAGCCAAGTAAGATATAAATTTAGTCTTAACCACCGAATCCGTAGAGAGTACGTCCTTGACGTTTCAAAGCATATACCACATCCATGGCAGTCACAGTCTTCCTTTTGGCGTGCTCGGTGTAAGTAACTGCATCACGAATAACATTCTCAAGAAATACCTTCAGTACACCACGAGTTTCTTCGTAAATTAAACCGGATATACGTTTAACACCACCACGGCGTGCCAGGCGGCGGATAGCAGGTTTTGTGATTCCCTGGATATTATCACGGAGAACCTTTCTATGACGCTTGGCTCCTCCCTTTCCCAATCCCTTTCCACCCTTACCACGGCCAGTCATTTTAACAGTTTAAAGCCAAATCACTCAACAGACTGACGAACCTATTTTGATTACGTCGCTTATCCACCTTATATACTGTACGATGCTGTATCCCCACCACTGGTGATCGAGCCAATCAGGGATCAGTTAATTCCTCATGCAGGCTATAAAGAATGCCCCGCAGGGGCGCTGCTCATTACACGTTTGGACTTCGCC